GTTTCACATAAATACCCGTATGATCCGCACTGCAATCTATCTTTCCTGTTTCTGTCTTCAGTAACATGTTGCTGAATACTTTGATATTATTAAAACTACCTCCTATTTGCATAGTAGGGCCAACAGCATAAAGCAAACGCTCCTTTGCATTCAACCGAGAAAATCTCTCGCCTTTTACTAAAGATTCCCGTGCAAACTACAATTTATGGTATCTAAAGATTTTCGGAATCCCTTTGAAAGTGCGGTATGCATCTTTCTCTCCAGTTGGTTTCCAAATTCTCTAACTTTGTACATTTTCCATAGAATTTCAGTTCAATATTTATTAAATGATGTGAAGGCACAGTATGTCCCGTGGCAAATCCGGCAAATCTTGAAAAACCACAATAATTTCAAGCATAACGCTGGACGTGATAGACTCTTAATTAAAGCAAAACTATCCATTGTAAGATCAAAAGTTAAGTTATCAGTGAATTAACATGGAAATTTGTGCAAGAATGGCAGGTGAGACGGAGTTAATATGTGGAGATCTAAAGGTAAAGTTCTAATGCACTTAAGGATTTATGAATGAAACAAGAATATAACGGGTCCCTTTTGTAGTTGGAAGTCCTTCGTGTTGATGTGTCAGCCTGCCAGGGAACATCATAGCGTAGCCTAGGATAACGTATAACGTTGATTTGGCATGTCCGACGGCTAGGGAAGCGGAACTTCACTTACCAACTTCATCAGCAGGTACAGTACAATTGTATCTCGTATACCGTACACCTCCACCTTCATAGTCAACTCCTTGCTTGTTGAGAGCTATATCGATGCTGAAACACCATAAATGGTGTAAAATCAGGCAATCAAAGGTGTAGAAAATTATAGGAACATTTAGCTAATCATATACCCATTGCATACAAGGGTGAAACGATTTACAGTTTTTATTTATTTAATTTTTTTTGAATTTCTAGTTTAAAAACAATTTTGGTGGGTTTGTACACATTATACATATCTATTCACTCCGCAATCAGGTTCTCATTAGATCTAATTTGAAATAAATCACATCTCAGTCTAGTGCCATAGTTAATTGAAAACAGTAGAAAGTCTTATTTGGTTGTAAAGAAACGAATGTAATTGTAATTACGACTACCTGAAGGTGCTAGCATCATGATGAGGTCGCAAAGAATGCTGTTCCTCTGGACGATATCGAACCACGAACATCATGTGAGAGTAAAGCGGCTAAAAGTTTCATTTGACACTTTTCTAAAGTCATCTTCATCATTGAGATGACTATATGAACCATAAAATTATAATGATTTTGTTTTAACTGAATAATTACCTCAATGAGATAAAAAACCTAAACACATTGAGGATAATACTACAAACTACTATATGCAATCATTTTTCATCTCGTTGAGATTAGGAAAAAAAACCGTATAATCTATGCATGTGAAGCCACTTACACTGTGATAGTATCCGATAAACGTTTTCTCTTGGACTGGTCTCACATACTCGTCCATAAAGTAGAGCCACTGTCTTTCATAGTCAATCTGC